TGAGATGGTCAGACCTTTATATCCCTTCATCAATCAGGAATTAGGGATGTTAATATTTAGTAAACACCTTTTTTTTTGTGCCAGTCCCTCAGTCTGAGAGTATACAATTAGGTCTTCTCAATTCTTCAAGGTTGCTGTTACTATCCTCACTTTGCAGGGGGCACAGGCTGGTTAGCTCGGAATCTTTGTTGTTCAATGCTTTTCTCTCATTTTCTGTGTGAGAACCTTTCAGGGCAGCACCCCAGGCTCATCTGAGATTTAAGAATAGATCTAAAGTTGCCTCCACCTTCAGCTGCCACTGAAAGCCAGGACCATGGCCAAGGAGCTACACCGAGGATTGTGAGGGGCCAGGTCCACAGAGGGGGCCCTGACATGTCCCCCCAACCCTAGTCTCTAGGACTGGTGACGAGGCTGAGGCCTCAGGCCGTCGCTGTGAAGATCTGAAGATTAGTTGGAGCCAGCAGAGGCACTGGCCTCCCTGTGGGTGGCCTGGAAGAATCCCACTGTATCAGGAACATTGTGTTTCCAGACATAGGCTGACCACCTGGCTGGCCGCCGGGTCTCTGGGTGGCCGTCCTCCCCGCTGGGCAGTCAGGGGCTAGGCCCCGAGGGGTGGGCCTGAAGGGCCATTGGATGACTTCATCTATCCTCCCGCACCAAGTTAGTATTTTTCTCTATTCTCTGAAGTTCCTCCATTAACTAAGAAACTCCTTTGGGTTCAGTTTCCTTCTCCTCTTGAAACATATATACTACAGTACATCCGTTATGGCCAGAGACGGCTCACAAGGTAGGACATCAGGCGACCTTCACTTCGAAGAGCCAGGGAGAACGAAGGAGACACAGAAGATAAGCTTTGTCCATCGCTCCTTCCTTCCTTCCACAAGGATCAAAGTGCCCACTGACTGCCTGCAGGACACATGGGTGGCACATGTGAGGGCCCATAGGCCAGGCCCAGACTTGCCATATGACTCCAGGCACATCAGGGCGCCTCTTTGAGTCTCACTTTCCCTATTCACTGAATGGGGTGCGGGGGGAACATGTGCTTATAGACTTGTGGGGGCCCCATCCTGGGGTCTGAGGTAGGCCTGGTGGCTTTTACAGTCCCACAGGCCCCCAAACTGACCAAGCAGCAGAATCTTTACAAATGCAGATTCCCAGGACCTACCCGGGAGGGTCCCCATCAGTGGCTCTGGAGTACCCTCAAGAGCCTGTTATTTTCAAACACCTGTAGATGGTTCTGATATGCAGCCTGGCATGGGATCCTGTAGTCTGGACTAAGGACAGCTCTACCTTGAGTAAGTGGTCCTCAACCTTGGCTTCTTTTTTTTTTTTTTAATATATTTATTGATTTCTTACAGAGAGGAAGGGAGAGGGATAGAAAGTTAGAAACATCGATGAGAGAGAAACATCGATCAGCTGCCTCTTGCACACTCCCTACTGGGTATGTGCCTGCAACCAAGGTACATGCCCTTGACCAGAATCGAACCCGGGACCCTTGAGTCCGCAGGCCGATGCTCTATCCATTGAGCCAAACCAGTCAGGGCAACCTTGGCTTCTTATTAGAATCCCCTGGAGAGCTATAAGAGTCCAGTGCCCAGGCGGCACCCCCCAGATCAGAGATTCTGGAGGCAAGAAAAAATGGTTTATGGGTAGTTTTAAATATATATATATATATTTTTTTTTATTGATTTCAGAGAGGAAGGAGAGGGAGAGGGAGAGATAGAAACATCAATGATGAGAGAGAATCATTGATTGGCTGCCTGCATGCCCCCCACTTAGAATCAAACCCGAAAACCCAGGCATGTGCCCTGACCGGGAATCGAACCATGGCCCCCTGGTTCATAGGTCAACACTCAACCATTGAGCCATGCTGGTCGGGAAGTTTATGGGTAGTTTTAAAACTCCCAGGTAGCTACAGTCAACACTAAGGCCAAGATCCATTGCTGTGGATGAGCTGAGAGATGAGGGAGATCTCCCATCTGCCGTTGCCCCCACTCCAGTTTTCACCTTCAGGAATTCTGTCTACTTTTACACTCAAGCTCCTCCTCTAGTAGTGGCCCCACGATGGACAAGGCCTTAGCTCGAGATTAGGTGATCTAGGCCCCAGTCCTGGGACCCTGGGCAAGCTGCCCGCATTGCCTGGACCTCCGTTTCCTCAGGTGTGCAAGGAGGGCTTGGCTGGCTGGTTTTCCAGTTGTGCTCAGAGCAAGGTCTAGGTGTCCTGGGGCAAGTGCTTGGACGGTTCAGAAGCTGAAACCATTAGTGTGTATGGTCCATGCTTCCTGCCTAGCTCTGAAGGTCTGCAGAAACCCAGCCTCTTTCTTCTCCACTTATACCCACAATTCTTATGGTCTGGCACTAACTTCATTTGACACTGACTCCCTATAAATTCTGTTTTGATTGTCTGGGCCTCATGATTTCCAGTATCTGGTTTATCTCCCCCACTGAGCTGTGAGCTCCTTGAAGGTGGTTCTTAATTCACGTTATAAACACAGCATGTATTTATCAAGCTCCTTCTGCCTGCCATGCTGGGTGCTGGGACACAGTGGTGACACAACCCTTCCCTCATGGAGCAAAAAGCCAGTGGATGAGAAAGATGAGAAAGGCAGTAGAGCAGTTACAAAGTTGTATGTGCTGTGGGGCCACCAAGCATGGCACCTTAGAAACGGGGCAGAGAGGATCCCCAGGTAAGAGGAGTGAGGCTGGCCTTGCTGAGGGGCCTAGGGGGCTGGGGGAGGAGCAGAGGTGACTGACAGGCAGGAACAGGCCTTTGAGCCCTGGTTGGGAGGCAGCACTTCATCCTGAGGGCCAAAGCAGCCCCCGAGGACTAGGCAGGAAGTGACCAGAACAGGTCTTCAGCCCTGTGAGGTCCACTCTGTCCCTTCCCCTTTCCAGCATGGATGGAGGTCTGTTGCTTAGTGGGGGCTCATGAAGTCCTGGGTGGCAGAGATGTATGTGTCTAGGGGTGGGGTGGGGGTATACAGGTATGGATGGCACCTTCATACAGGTAGGTGCTCACCAGGGAGGGTGAGTAGGCTGGGGTGGGTAGGGAGTGAGAAGAGACCCCTGTGTTGCAGGCCTGTCCCACTCCCCACTTAGCTTCTGGGAATACCTTAGCTCACCCTAACAGCCCCTTTCCTGGATCCCAGCCCCTAGTTGGGGATTGTTGCTGTCTACCTGTCCACAGATCTCCAGAGGTGGCCTCTGCTTCTCTTCTATTGTTCATGGGGTTTCTGGGGCCATGTCATGTGTGGTGGATGCCTAGTCAGCTGGCCTGAGCTCAGGACTTACTGAGGTCCTTGGGGTGTCTCCTCTACCCCATCCACTGCTCCTGCCATTCACCTTTAAAAACAAACAAACATGTTTTCATTGATTTCAGAGAGGAAGGGAGAAATAGAAATAGCAATGATGAGAGAGAATCATTGAACAGCTGCCTCTTGCATGCCCTTTGCTGGGGATCAAGCCCGCAACCCAGGCATGTGCCCTGATCAGGAATCGAACTGTGACCTTCTGATTCATAGGTCGATGCTCAACCACTGAGCCACCCATCTTATCCCCTCCTTCTTTGCCCCTTTCTGGCCCAGTTTCTCAGCTACCTTAGTGCCTGTGATCGGCTGCTGCGGCAGGGCTACGAGGAGGGCCTGGTGGAGGAGGCCATGGAGATGTTCCAGTTCTCTGAGAGCCAGGTCAGCCGGCCACCTGCCTGAGCCCCGAGGCAGAAAAGGGATGGGGTATACACATGAGCCTGGTGTGCAGGGACACGCGGTGCCAGAGCCAGCCTGGGGGTGACAGGGAGAGAGCTGCTTGCTCAGCCCTGGGGAGCAGACAGCCCAGGGAGACGAAGCACAGAAGGTGAGGGGATGAGGTGGGGAGGAAACCAGAGGCAAGGCTTTTGTATTATTTAACTGAGTCAGCACACGTGTTATTGAATGCGCTCTCCTTGTTAGACACGCAGACAGAAGCCACAGGCAGCACAAAGATGCTTGAACTCTCTGCTCAAGGAGTTGGCCGTCTATCTGGAATCCAGAATATAGGCAGCTGTGGGCCCAGCAGTACCTACTGTGTGCCCGATGAATATGACCTGTCCGTGCTCAGCAGCTGGTTCAGGCTCGAGAGCAACTCTTCACAGAGGCTGATGAAGGGTCAGAAGGGTGGGAGAAATAGAGGAGGAGGAAGGAAGAAAAGCAGGGATGTTTAAAGTGCTGGTGCCAGAGGAGGAAGGGGGACCAAAGCTGTACTATGTGAAACCTTGGCAGAGTTTGGGGCCTGGCAGAGACCCTGGGCTACACATCCTCTGGGCACCAGTATTTGACTTTCCTCTTCCGGCCCCAGCCCCCAAGCACAGGTAGTCAGGAGAGAGCCGGAGTGGGGGAGTAAAGCCAGGACCAAGTCAGTGGCCAGGCTGGGGCCTCCTTCCTTGGCCCATGTCACCTCACAGGTACAAAGGAAATGCAGGTATGGCCCAGGATCAGGTTTACCTGGCCTGTGAGGGCCACAGCTTTCTGGGAGTAGAGGACACCAGGGAGGGGGCTCCCCAGAGTAGAGGCTAAGCCTCAGTGCCCTCTCTGCCTTCCCTTCCTCAGGCAGGGGAGTTTCTGCGCCTCTGGGAACAGTTCAGCGACATGGGCTTCCAGCAGGACCGGATCAAGGAGGTGCTGCTGGTCCATGGCAACCGCCGCGAGCAAGCCCTGGAGGAGCTGGTGGCCTGTGCCCAGTGACCACTGGGGCACTCTGCAATGCCCAGCATCCCAGACCTGTGCTAAACCTGGCAATCCAAGTCTACAAAGCAATGCATGCCTGTTGTAAAAATGCAACAATACCAAGGGTGGGAGCAAATACAATAGGGGAGGCAAAACTTCACCCATCTTGGGATTTCAGCTAGACCAATTAATAAGAGAAAAACAGTTTATTAATATATACAGCACACATTATGTGGGAGAACCCTCCGTGAAAAGTAGCTGAAAGCAGGGGTTTAGAACTCTGGCTTGTGTAGCATCAACAAAGAACACATTTGTATAGGAATAACAAGACAAAGGAAATCAGTTTTAGGCTTCCAAAAATGACAAACTAGGAAGGTAAATAATGGGAGGGAACTAATGGAGTACGGCTCACTTGCGGTATCTCCGGAAGGATAAGAATCAATCTCAAGAAAAGGAGAATTTATATCCTGCCTTTAGACAGAAAAGAGAGAGGGGGAAGAAAAGCTCTTCCTGCATTTGCTGCTTCTTAATTGCCTTCAGCTCGAAATAACATTTTTATGTCAAAGAAACATATTTTGGGTGACATTCTGGCTTCCTTCAATACCCAAAGAATCAGCTAAGAGTTGAAAGTGGGGAGGGGGAGATGGCAGGGTGTGGATAAGGAGCTGTGTTTTCTCACACAAACCTTGTAAAACTTCTTTTATTTGATCCTTTAAATTGTGTGCTTTGATTTAAAAAAAATTAAAGCAAACAAAGAAAATGATGAGCAATTCTTTTGGGTCTTATCGGCTCCTGGTCTTTTTGTGGAAATAACATCTAACTGTGGGTCCAAAGATCTAATTTCTGATTGTGGTTCAGCTGATGACTGGCTCAAAGCTTTTTTGGGCCTCAGTTTCCCCAGGAAAAGAAGAGAGATTGGACCTGGCTGCTATTCATAAGAATCCCCTGGGGAGTTTGTTAAAAAGTTCCAGGCCCCACTCTTGGAGAATCTGACTCAGAAGGTCCAACTTGGTAGCCCCTAGGGATCTGTTTTCTTTTTATAAGAAGATCTCTGGGATTGTTCTTTTAAAATCTTTGTTTTTAATCTGCTGTTTGTTGTTGTTGATTCTCTTCACCCATTCTCCCACCTCCCATCCCCTGGGCCCACCTCTGGCAACTGCTATTCTGTTTTCTGTATCTATAAGTTTAGTTTTTTATTTTTTGATTTCACATATGAAACCATATGGTATTTGTCTTTCTCTGTCTGACTTATTTATTTAGCATAATATCTTTGAGGTCTACCCATGTTGTCACAAATGGCAAGATTTTATTCTTTTTTATAGCTAATCTAGAGGCCCAGTGCACAAATTTGTGCACAGGTGGGGTCCAGCCAGCCAGGGGGAGGGGACGCAGGAGGTTGGCCGGTCAGCCCTGCCACCTGGTCGAACTCCCAGTCAAACTCCCAGTCAAGGGGACAGTTTGCATATTAGGCTTTTATTATATAGGATAATATCCCATTATATATCCTATATAATATTCCATTATGCATCCTACATAATAAAAGGCTAATATATATATTCCACTAGAGGCCCGGTGCACAAAAATTTGTGCACTCGGGGGGGGGGGGGGCCCTCAGCCCGGGCTGTGGCTTCTCGCAGGCTTGGACCCCTCGGGAGATAACACCT